TGATTAATTATTATGATTTTCGGTTGACTCACGTAATTATTTGACGACGAACTCGACTAGTTGCCGAAAAACATAATTGTTGTTAGTAGAAAGCTAAAGTGCAATTTAGGAAGCCAAAATATGAATTTGTCACTTATTTAAACCAGATGAAATTGACCAACAATTCCACACGTTTTAGAAATGTTTTCCAAATTAAAAATAACATATTCTCAACCTTCACTGGACACGATCTCACGATCTGATTATTATCGATTATTTCATCTCCTACACATTACCTAATACTAAATTCAATCGCCAACATGTCAATACATAATATATTAGCATGGCTCGCTAATATTGTTTATATTGCACTCGGGTGGGGTGCAAATCGTACCCGGTACCGAAGGGGAGATGAGTGCGTCCCGACGCTAACAGCGAAACAGCTGACCTTGTAAAATATTTAGTTTCGTTAAATAATAAGAATGCCTCTTTACTACTTGCTTGAGACATCACCCGTGGTTTGCTTTCTTATGATGAGCTGGAAAATGAGCAGACGGATCACCTGATGGTAAGCAATCGGCGTCGCCCATGGACGCCTGGAACACCATCACAACTGCGCTACCGGCCTTTCGGGGATTAGAAATGAAAGTATTATTGAGAGGAGGGGGGGTAATTGGGCCTTGTTTATTTTTCTGTGCTTATGTACCTACTTAGAAAAACTTTTCTCCAACCTCGAGTAAGTTAGATCCTTAAGTGCTTCAAAGAATGTGACAATCGATTTTTCCATAATTTTATCATTGGCATCTTTCTTATTAATAGTGGCCAAACTATAATACTTAATGGGTAATAATGGTGTATTGGGGGAGGTTAGTTCAACCTCATCGTCCCTTCTATTAGCAAAACAGCTGACCTTGTGTTGCTGATATTTTGGTCAATACTTTAAAAACGTCAAAACTTTTTTTTTATAATCAACCTTTTCTCTATTTCTTTGCGGACCAAAAATAAAATATGACGATCTTATAATTATTATATTTTGATAAAAACTTACAAGGACTTAGGTACTTAGTTTTATGCATTATATTTTAAATGTATGTGAGGACTAAGAACACCGTTATTACCACTAAAACCTAGAGATTAGTAACGATACACATAAACCCTAAACATTTATGTAAATTCTGTAAAGTATTTAAAGTCTAACACTAGGCTATGAATAAATTACACCTAGCTTAGGATGCCTAGGCATTCTATTACTGACAGTACAGTTTCCCTGGAATTTGATTATCACACATCATTGAAGGCACTTTGTCGGCCTGTCTGGATTCGGGATTAAATTCGATGTAGCGTATATACATCCAATATATCTGGAAGACTGATTGATAGCCAGAATATCGTAACTTATCTGGCAATGTTTAGTTTAATTAAAACGTGTCTACGTAGCATTAAGTCAAGTGTGTTGCCTGCTACCTATTGCTTGCTTTCTAGTTCAGTAGGTATATTAGAAAGAGGGGTCAAATGAGCAGATAGATCACCTGATGGTAGGCGATCAGCGTCGCCCAAGCGCAACACCAGAGGAGTCAAGTGCGTTGCCGGCCTTTTAAAAAGGAATAGGTACGCTCTTTTCTTGAAGGAGTATGTTGTTGGTATTTTTTAAGGGGGAAAAATCACCGAATGACTTCTCCCGGATGGATGAGGCGGGAGGCAGAGTCAGACTCTTAATGACTAAATCCCACCCTGTTCCCACTCCTGCCCTTCGAGCCAGCAACCCGTTAAGTCCTTCACGGCATGTTGTTGGTATAGAGTTATTAACTATTATTTTAGGCTCAGTGCTAATACTGAGAATTACAGTATTGAAATTAATAATACTTGAACCAATGGACAGACGGACCAAAATCTACACAGCTCGAAAACAATCATTTGACAGGACGCCTGTCTATCTCACCGGTTAGACTTGGGGTCCAATCTAACATTTATAATTCTAAGTAAATGAATAACGAGTATGATTATAAAATAGGACTTTTAATAGCATTAGGAGTAGCGTGAACTTTTAAAATATAGCTACCAATGTACGATGAGAAAGGTATGGCAATTCTGTCAGCATTTTTTCCATAGTCATTGCCATATTATTTAGGCTTTGGTTAGTTCATACGTGAAGTTATTAGATATTAACTATATTAATTACAGTAAATTGCTGTATGCTAGTCTAGTACCTAATGTAATAATAATACGACATTAATTAACATTGTTTGCCTAAAGTACTCTTCAATGTCAAGTTGGTAGGTGCTCCATAATTTGGTAAAAGGGGAAGATCTATCGACGATGTGTAATTAGCGAAACAGCTGACAGTCTTGGGTACGATTCCCGAGAATAGCAAAAATTAGTTTCGGGTTTTTCGTCATTAAGCTGTCAGTTTTTGGAGTCATATGAAGATCTATGGCTGTTATTACGAGCACCAAACCTGCTGATAATAATTTGAGAGGAAGATCCTAAGCCCCATTCTATTTGGAGTATAAGTAACTAAGGAAATATTTATTTTGCCTCGTTGTCCGAGTGGTCGCAAGTGCGACTGTTGGGCAAGGGGCCTCGAGTTGGCTTCGAGTTGGCTTCCAGAGTCAGGCAAAGTTGTATTGTTTGTTTTATAAAAAATACTGGTAGTGGTACGGAGTCTGGAATTCCGCACGGTATATGGGCAATAGGCTCACCCCCTATTACATGGGACTGAAAACATAAATGGTGAATAGTGGGTGTTACATTGTACAGTGGCATTATTAAGTGCAGTAAGTAATGTGCACCTCAGCCTACCCCTTCGAGGATGTTATCATGCCTCATCACGGCTTCGTATCCTGTTATGTCATTTAATACCTAGTTATAATTGTAGCTGTATACTTGTATCGAATTGAGTTTTGTCCTCAAATCTGCATGTACCTACAGGAACTTCGTTTATCTCGTTTTCTTAAGATTCGGTTGGTTTTTTTTTTAATGGTACATGCCCGCCACAACCTCCCAAAACCGCTGCAACTCCTGTAAGCCAGGATCTACAGTAGATACAACTATGAAAACACCGGAACTTTGAAGTCCGGCGCGTCCCAGGGACATGAGTAACTGTCTTGGTTCCCGCAACGAAGTGAATCAGAAGATATTATAAGAGGAGAAGAAGAAAAGTCGGTTGGTTTCCTAGTCTTGATCGTCATGGAATGCAGGATCCAAGGATAAAGCAAAAGTTGTTGTTTGTCAATCACCATCACCACACACACCAGAACCTATTTAATAAAAAGTTTTATAGAAGACTTACTGCTCATAAATTTTAATTTAAAAAAGTCGTCTATAAGTATTAAATTTGAAAAGACACTAAAAAAGAGAGTACCTAAATACAGGAGCGATAAAATAAAACAAAGAAAAATATTAATTATGTATTTAAATATCGAATGACGAAATTTCTTCTCTCGAACTTAATTGTCATAATATGCATCGTAAATCGCAGTCCACGATCGACAACTGACAAGATTTTAATCTATGTTATTGAAAACCCTTTGCAGAATTCATTTAGGTTTTTATCTTCGGGGATACTTAATTAAATAATTAAAGAACCATAAAATACCAGGATTGAGTCGTAAATAATACTTTTTTACCTCATATTTGTTTACTTTTCTTTTGGAAAAGGTTTAATATCTTTCGGCCTTTTATTTTTTTTCTTTCATACACATAGTTGTACGTATGATATTATTAAGTATCTTGTGACAAAAGGAAGCTTTGTCTTCCTGAACAGACATTTATTATTTCTGGGCTCATCCCAAGGTTAGATAATTAATCAAAGTTGATAATATTGGAATTCTTCCTGACAATACTTCTCATTAGGATTGGTTCTTTAAAGTAATGAGTAGAAGACGCTTTTGAAGGCTGCAAATGTCAACAGACAATATTAAAGAGGAGGTTTCTGACATTAAAATTTGAAATAGAGAAAAAAAAATAAAAGTACGTGCTAATCTTATTTATCAAACTTACCTATATCTTTACGTCCAACAAATAAAAAGGAACAAAAAACATCACTCACAGAAAAAAAACAATCAAACAAAACGGTTCGAATCCAACGTATTCGAAAAATTCAAAACTTCGAATTTAAGTTTCGAACGCGGGCAATCGATCACCGACGCGAAGGGACGCGCGCTCCCGTCGGACACCGCACCAACTCTGGCGGGAACACAGGACGGCGAAAAGCGGGAAAAAAGCGTCATTATGCCACTACATTTTTTTTTACTTTTAATATTTCGATAGCGATGCCATTTTACGCAGATTAAAATGTTGTTTTTTGTCACTGGACTGGACTGCGGACTGCATTCTCCTTTTTCGTTTTTTTGAATATGTTTAATTGAAAATATTGCCGTGTGGTGATGGGAGAGAACAAAATATTTTTGCCGCCTCTTATCTCTCCGTAGGTGTCTAAAGAATCGCCTAAGAGACTAAATATTTAACAAAGACCGAATAGCAGTATCACTACATACTTATTACTTACAAAGTATAAAACAAAGTCGCTATCCACCGCCTGTCTGTCCCTATGTATGCTTAGATGTAAAACTACGCATCGGATTTTGATGCGGTTTTTTTAAAAGATAGAGCGATGCTTAAGGTGGTAATTTATGTATAATACATACTTATATGCTAGTTCTATGATAAACCTGAAATTTTTAATCTACAACTCACCTGCCAAGCGTTGTTATGATTGTGAAAAAGCCCTTTTAAGTAATTATACAAAGCCTATCATAGTTACTGGCTGTCAATATTGTTTGAAAATTGAAAATAGGTACAGAAAAACTTTAATAGCCTGATTTTACCGATCGCAGGACGACGTTGAAGTGACGTTTCCTCCGATGTGTGATGTTATGCGGAATCCAGAGAGATACCATTTCCGTAGATGCTAATCGCAATCCTTGAATGAGGTGCATTCAAGTATTGTCTCATGTCTACCATCTCGGATATTGTGTAACGGTATTTTACAATACAGAATGCAAATTCGAAGTAGGAAAAATGAAACAAGGAGTAATAAAAGTTTAGTTTCTTAAAATAAAATGAGACATAATTTTGTAAGACAACATTTATTATATACTAGACTGCAGACTGCAATAGACTCGTGTGACTTAATGATTACCTATCTATTTCAATGTAAGATATTGAAGGTTAGTAAATAAATGAAAAACCATCCGAACCCGAGATACTTAATAATTTTGAACTAGGTATATATATATAGGTACCTAATAGAGTTTGTAAAAAATGTAAAATAATAAAATGTATAATAGATAATAGTATGTAATAAATGTAATGTAAAGTTTGTAAAAAAACTTTAGATTCTATTATAACCACGATTCTCACATCTCCACCATCTATGATTATAGAAGGTAAGGCAATAATAACTACATACTAATACAATTTTACTAATACAATACAAGCAATATGGAAGAAAATATTAAAAAGGTTTACCCAGAACAACTTCATTAAAGCGCCATCTTTATTGGCTATGTAGAACTTTTACGACTGGAACTAAGCTGCATCGTAGTAGTTCGATTATGTACGTTTACCGCTAGATGGCATTGTTCCAAATATACTAAGATGCGGTATTTTGGTCCTATGATTCGAAAAACTAATTAAATTAACGTAAATAATATAGTGAATGAAGAAATAATTACGTTGAGAGTATGTTATAAAGGCATATTAGCTCAATGACACTTCAATATAGAAATATTTTATATTTTTATAGCCATTAAAGTATCAAACGGAAACATTAAGTTGAAGTCATCAATAACTAGGGTTGCCACCCGTACTTTTTAATAAAGTATTGTACGTTATTTAAGGTAATTGTACTCTATACTTTATAAGAATAATAAAGTACACAAAAATACTTTATATTTTCAAACTTCATTTCTATTAAAGTCGTAAGTATTTTTCGGTACACTTATCGATTCGATATCGATAGTTGAATTGATAACTTGCTAGCGCCACTTAGACAATTTCTAGTAAAGATGCAATTGTCTAGTATTTCAATGCAATTGTTTAGTAAAAGTACTAATTTAATACAAACTGCAAAAAGCAATAAAAATATATTTTTAAATATAATACCCACTAAATAAGAATAATTTGTACTTTATTTTTGTACTGTGTACTTTTTTTTCTTACCTATAATCGTCAATGTACTTTAAATACCAAAGAAAAAGGTGGCAACCCTATCAATAACCCATTGAAGAATATTACCCTGTTAAATATTTATTGAACATAATATTATATTTTTAGTGCTTACGTAGCGTAGGTTAGTTTAATAGTGATGATATTTCATCATTTTTATTGTTGTGTTATAAACTTTAGGGTCAGTGGCTTAATTTCTTCTGACTTACGAGGTTTCTGTAAATGATTGTTTTTTCTTCTAAACATGGTAAAGAAAAAGGGCGTTGTCGATATGTCCGGTCTGCACAGTGACTGCACCCTCATCGACCTTATTTTGTATCTTTTTTAAATTGTCCTGAAATACCAAATTAAACAACTCTTTTGGGAGTGTTCGTAATAGTAAAACGCATCAAATTTTAGAAACTAACATTCCAGGCACCACCTAAAAAAATTAACACCTAGTAAAATTAATGAATTAACTATGTACCTAACTAATTCAATATCTGTTCCACCGTATATAGAAGTCAAAGACATCGGTTAATCAGATATACACAACAGTAAAAAGAATACATGGGTATTACGTACTTACCTCTTTTTGTAGTCATATTTTTTTTTAAATGCAATAGGTATATCAACATTCACAATTTCCTTACCTCATCTGCACGTGCACTCACTCGCTTCACTTAATAATTATAAACTACGTTTACAAAAACTGACTGCAACCCCCTCTTTCTTGAAGTCGGTTAATTAATACTAAAACCATCTCCTAAGTGTAACTAACACTTTTCTGAAAACCGCATCAAAATCGGTTCAGTCTATCGTGAGATAATAGCACACATACATCCTTACTAATATTATAAATCGGAAAGTGAGTTTGTTTGTTTGTTCCGCTTTCACGCCGTAACTTCTAAATCAATTGCTTTGAATTTTGAAGTCCGTATTAAATAATATGGTAATTTATATCCCGGAAAAAAATGTTGATGACACTGATGGCACTGTGTGTATTGTCACAGAGGCTACTTTTTATCCATTTGTAACGCGAGCGAAGCCGCGGGTAAAAGCTGGTTACTTATAAACTCCTTTTTTTGAAGTCAGTTAAAAATAAATCAATTTAATCAAATCGGAAACCTGTATCCGTCGCTTGGAGCGGATCGAATCACATATCGACCTGTCAAATGACGTCACATAGTAGTGTCAATTGGGCACTATAAATATTAATCTGTCACTTTGATAGTCACCCACGTTATCTGTAGTAAGAGGGCATGGCCTTACTACCGATAGCTCAAACGCCCACTGAACTATTGATGATTTAAGTGTTCTAAATGTGAATGGTCTTTAAGTATGTGTTAGTTATATCGCTAATATTTGTGTATTGAGATTACTTGAGATGTTTGCAATTAAAAGTGAGTAATAATTTTTGTAATTGAAGTTATTATGGTTCCCGAAATTAGCTCGAAACTAATTGAGGAATTCCGTCAAACAGTTACATGAGGAAGCTGCAGACGAACAACGAATTTTTTTATATATTTGATTGACCAACATTTGACCACTATCTCGCCAGGTGCTACCTAGGTACGCGATGATGCGGTCTACGATGGAGCACGTCGTCCCATAAGCAACCTATTCACTCGGACCTCAAAGACATACCCTTCAGGCGGCTTCAGTATCAGGAAATACAGACTCTGGCAAAACGTATTATGTAGTATTTTAATTATGGAAAGGACAAGAAATATTGCTAAGCATATCTAATTTTGCAAGACAAAAAGGACTATTTTATACAAATAACAAAGTTACATGCTAAAGATAAGGAAAATGCAAATACAAAATAACGGAAAACAAACATTGTAGGTACAATTAATAAGCAGGTAAATAGGTACCTACCACTATTTACCTAGTCATAACCGAAGCAACGTCATTCATTCAACTCATTAAAATCACAATAAGTATTTAGTAGAAACACGAGCAAAGATGACAAACAAATTCACTTTCTTTAGACAAAAATGGAAGTCTGCCAAACACTTTCGCAGAAACACATTTTGAATGAAAAATGAATTTTCCTTAAAAATAAATCTGCGACTTAAACAAGATGGCATATTTATAAAATAAAATAATGTACTTATCTACTTATATAAACAAAAATATATTTCCATTCGTTAGTCTCGCTACAGCTAGATGAATGGCAGAACCGATTTAGCTAATTTTGGTCTTGAAATGTTCGCGGAAGTCCAGGGGAGACTTAGAAGGTGAGAAAAATGAGGTTTTTGAGGCGGTACGAAGTTTGCTGGGTCGACTAGTACATATATAACGTTTTCATTCCCTAAAGTATAAATAAAGGTGGACATTTTCCAATTTGACAATGACCACCATTATTTTCCAATAAGCAGTCCCATAGAAAGTGAAGGTAGCTGAGCCCATTACTAAACCCCGGGAGCTACTTCAGACTCCATGCTATCTATCCACTGAGAATATTGACAAAAACGGAAAAAGCCCAACATTACATACTTTCTTTGGCCTGAGAATCGTCACCGAGACAGCCTAATCGACTCGGTGGCTATCAAGAAAAAATCTTCTTAAAATGAACACGCAGTTTTAAGTATCATTCTGCAGGTATAAAAATTATAAGTAGTAGGAATTTTTTAGGGGGATAATATTCGTATGACTTCTCCCGCATGGGTGAGGCGGGAGGGAGTGTCAGACTCTTACTGACTAAAACCCACCCCGTTCCTTCTCCTGCACTTCGAGCCGGAGCCCCGGTAATCCGTTAGGTCCGCCGCGACAAATACCTAGTAGGTATAATACCCACAGAACACATAAAGAAGGTTTATAGCTATGTTCTGTGTAGGTACTTGAGAAATGCAATGTCAATCTAATTAAAAGAATAATAGCCGTGCACCTTGTCATGTAGTTTACCGGATTTAATCAACCAAGTCGAAAAAAAGTAAAAGAATGAGTTGAAATTAAATTCTTAGTACGCGAAGGTATCAAAATAGAGTACAACTAGATTTATAGAGATTTTACGA